TTTCCTCTTTGGGTTTTTTTTGTTTTGTGTTGGTTGGTTGTTTTTTTGTTCCTCTCCTCCTTCGAAGCACCCCCGCCAGCCCTAGGAGCCCAGCCTCCCCCCGGCGGGCTGGGGTTTGCTCTCCGAGCTCCCCGCCCTCCCGGCTCCCCCATGAGCTTCCCAGATGGTTTTGCACTGAGGGCAGCGGAGACGGAGAGGAAATGCGCTCATTTTGCTTCTCGGATGTATTCCGACCTCCTGGTGGTCGTGCCTGAGAGTCAGGAAAGCAGCTGAAAGGCGTAACCTCGCCTGTCGTTCTCACCAAAGCAGAGGAGTCGATCCCAGGGATGCTGAGCCATTTTCCTGCCCAAGGCTGGCACACGCAGAAACTTGGGAATCTGCCCAAGAGCCCCTCGAGGCAGAGAAGAGGCCCTAGTTGCCTTGTAGGGCTGGGGGAGCTGAGGCACAGCGGGGTTAACTTACCCAAAGGTGAAGGACACTGCAAGGGATTTGAAAAGTACTTTCCAACACTGCCCCCGTTCTAGAGTCAAAGGGCATCATCCTACAGAGCTAGCAGAGAAACAAGTTTGCTCAACAACTAGCACTTCCACAAGATGCTTAGGGGCACCAGGTTTGAGCAACAGCATCGTAACATCTACCCGATTTAGGGGAACTATAGATCCCTTTATTGCACCCTTCCTCTTTCCACAGCATTGCAACAACTGTCTTATATTAACGCTGGTATGGTGTGTTCTCCACCGCCGCTGCTTGGTGGGGTTTTTTTCAAGCTCAGGTGGTGGCCATGTGCTGCGGTGGGAGACAATCCATGTGTTACGTTGCACTAAAATTTGGTGGTATCAAGAGGGCAGCAGGCAAATGTGGTGGCACGGCTCGGCATCGAACCCGTCCAGCTTGTGAACAGGGACTGTGAAGTCAGCCTGTTCTTTGAATTTCCTGAAGTGCTTCTTGAATTAAGTAACAGTTTTAATGTTATTCAAAGGGATTGCGTTTGTAAATGTGTGCGTATGGGTATTGTTTCCTCAGTGTCTGAATCAAGTTTATTCAGGTTTATTGGCAACCTGGGTGTTGTTAGTACATTCCTTTCTCATTATGCCATAATCTATGAAAATCATCTCCAGCAAGAGCTGTACTGGAATCTCCCCGCTTCTGCGCTGCAGGACTCAGCCTGTCTCGGTGCATTATTTATTTCCCCTGGGAACTTCACAGCAGCAGCAGGAGAGAAAACAGATCCTTCTCCAAGATCACAGATATTCATCACCTAAGCCAAAGGAAAATGTCTGCATAAAGCCCAACGAGGTAGTAATTACTGATTCTGACCACGTGTGCGTATATATATACACACACACGCATTGGGCAATACAAATCACTATAGGTTACAGTGACTGTGATTTACATTCATCTGCAAAATCTCTCTGGGATACAGGTAGGTGAACAGGGAAAAGGCCTGAACATTTTTCAAAGGAAGGCTCACATCCCGACAGATTATATTACACATCCACCATCCCATTCAGGAGCCACTTTCTGTGCCACCGAAGACAGTATAAAATTAGGGTAACAATCCAATACATGTAAATGGAAAAGTCAAACCAAGACACATTTGTTTGATTTGTATGAGGTTTTTTGATGCAGTTCAGCAGTTTGAAACAGGAGGGAAAACTAGAAGCACATATCCTGACAACTCCAGCGCGTGATTCATTGTTTGAGTATTGCTGCACTGCAGAAGGCTTAAGATCATTATCTTGCTAAAAGTAGTAATTTATTTGATAATGAGCCAAGCTCCGCTAACCTTACTCAGATACTGGGCAGGACCCGAAGCTGTGAGCAGTGGAGTAACAGTACCGCCGTTCCTCGCACACAGGGACATAGCCTGTGGCTCCGTCACACGGCTGCTACTGCAGCAGGGATTAGATATAAAAACACTATTTCTAAAAGGGACTCTAAGATCCCATCAGCAGGAGCAGGACAAGAGCAAGATTTGGGCTGAGAGTTAAATTCTAGGTATCTTTCTCAGCTGCTTTCAGACATCTTGGAAGACTGAGGAATTATTCTTTCCACTAGCATTTCTCATCCATTACAAAACTAGCAGTATTTCCTTAACCTATTACAAGCAGTAAATAAAAAAAATAAAATCATCCTGCAAGATTGCCAAAGAGAGACTAGGGAACGATGGAGAGGACATGGGTAGGCAGAAGCGGAACAGGTTTTAGTACAGCTTCCAGCTGTCACCTTCACAAGGAACACAGGAGACGGCGGCCAACCTGGAGCACACAGAGGCATCACGTTAACACAGCGAAAGCAGCAATGATAATCTCGCTCGCGCCAGGCCTTGCTGGGGCCCTATCTCTTACACTGCAAGTGGCTGTGTAAGCCTAAAGGACGCTGCAGCAGGATGGCATTTTAATAAGCACAGCTCAGGGTGACCCAGCAGAGCAGGAGCATGAGCAGAGCAAAAGGAGAAGGGAGTGGGGGACTCTCTTCCACCCACGAATATTTCACACCTCCTAGCAAGGAAACGTGCAGGGAGACAGGGTCACCTCCTCACAGCTCGATGTATGGTGTCCTCATCTACCCCCTTACACCTGACCTTCTAAACATCTTAAATCCCCGTGATTTCTGTAGCCTTCCCTGGATATTAAGGTTCTTTTTAAATGGCCTCTTCCTCCCAGAGGACTCAAGTGTCAAGCAGTGAAAGATGCCGGACAGCTAGGGAGAGATTTGGTAGTTGAGAACTAAAAGGCTGAAGTATAAAATATGAAGGGAAGAGGAATCAGAGACTAGGGCCTGGATTCTGCTGCTGGAACTGAAAGGCTGTTGGACAGCATGGGGGAAGTCACTTCTGCTAATGAACACATGATGACTCCAGACATATTCGAAACTCATTTTTAAATGCACCAAATGTTCATGATTGGGAAGACAGCCATGGATCAAAACTGGTAAGCAGGTAATGGAAACCATCCACTGAAGCAACCTGAATGCTGTGCAGGGCCAGGTGTGTGTGTAATTACCTTGTAGGCTTTCCCTCACAGCCTCTCTAGGGATTAATGATGCTAGGCAGCCAGGATGGGAGGGGGTCACTTCCACCAGACTGTTCCTCCAAATACATAGGAGGAAGAGTCCTCCGTGTGTCATTCCCCAAAGCTGATTGGTAGCATAAACCATAATACTGGTGGTGGTAAGAGCCCGCAGTGGGCAGCGATGGTGATGAGGATCGGCAGAGCATTGCTTTCCTCCAGCAGTCTTAGAGAGTCCCTGCGTTTGGCTTGGAGAAGGGTAGAAGAGAGGAATTTTCTAACAAGCATGGCAGGCCGTCGTAATCCTAGTTGCAGAACTGGGAGGAAAAACTGGGACGGAAAACTGTTCGGCAGTTTCAAACCACACTGGGGAATGGCACATTCAGCTTAGTTCCAGGATTATTGACTTAATTTTAGTTGCTTTCCATAATTGTCATCTATTTTATTTTTTATGTAGAGCATGTAATTGTACGTTATACACAGACCGCTTGTCAGCTTTAGCTTCTCTCTCAGAACTAATTGGGTGTTTCTATTAATCAAAACATTTCCTTGAGTTAACTTTTTATGAAAAGGGTAATGTTTCTTCCTCTGGAGATCGTTGGCTCAACTCTAGTGCCAAACATGATCAAAGGTTACTGCTATTTGAGATCTGTTGCGTCATCTTCATGAACAAAGTAGAGAGCGTCAATCCAATTTAAACTGAACAACTGTTCACATTATAGAACTATCATTTAGTTTGAAAATAACAGGAGGAGAGGGCATTCAAAAAGAATATAGTAAAAATATCAGTTAGATAACTAAGTAATTGAGGACTGCATCGCGTTTCCTTGTCATTGCAGAAAAAGAAGTATTTTTTGTAAGCTCTTGTTCCTTTTAATACTGCAGAACTGATGTAGCTCTGAGAAGGCAAACGGGCTTCCAGGGCACGTCCCAGGACGTCAGCCCACTGACAGTGGCTGTAGTGTCCCTGGTGTTTGAGGTTGTGATGGATTTCCGTATCACTGGGGAAGTTACAAGATTTTCAGTCAGATAAGTAACATTTATGTAACATATTGGCAATATATACAAAATAGTATTTTAATATTAGTAAATGGTTAGACAAATTTTGCTTTCCTTAGTGGTAATCTCCCATTGGTGATATTATCTGAATAAATTGAGTAAAACTGTATACAAACACAGGACCTCATCCATGAACACATGTTCACCCAACCATTATGTCTCCACGTATTAATTAATATTTGTGACACATTTCTAAACCAGAAAAGCTCGTCAGGGCGGTGGGGGGGGGGGGGGGGGGGGGCGGAAGGAGAGGGGCAGTTTATGAAACCACTGTGGTGGTGGAGTGCCACCTAGTGATGTTCTTCCTTACTTCAGCATGGTGTGGAAGGAAACACATTTCAAACCCGCTCCTCCCCCCGGCTTTCCTTTGTCAATTTTTCTCATCCTTACCTTCCAGTGTCCACAGGGTTCATTTTACACTTTCCAGAAGACATGTACTCTCATGGTCCCTGCCCCAAATTGCTTACATTCTCCTGGGTGATGTTATGGTGAGATTTTACTCTATTTATTTACATCTCTGCAGTAGCCCATAAATCCTTACACTCAGGAAGCGATGGCTTATCATTTTCATGCCACTACAGTTTAAAACATGCATTAAATTAACTGCCTGAGGGTTGTGACCTCAGATAAATCACCGAGTGAGTATTTTTTCTCTAGTAACCCTTTCTTCATGCACACAAACACCCCCACTGATGGGAACCTCTCTTTTACGCAGCCGCTGAAACAGGTGATTCTGCTTATTTACCATGAAATGTGGGTGTCTCTTGAACGACGTCAGATATTCAGGGAAATAACAATCTTTTCAGTGAACCGAAACTTTCTGGGTCTGGCTTGTCCTTGCCGTTAATGGAGATTTATTTATTTTTATTTAAGGTGATTTTTTTTTTCTTCTTCGGTGGCTGTGGGGGTTTTTTTGTTCTTACTAGCAGAAAGGTTTTCCCAGAGCTAGGAACATAGGCTTAGCTTAAAGGGGAGTGTTAAAAAGTGATTCCACTTCAAGAGCTCCATCTTGTCTACAGGTTCCCTGTATGACATGAGCACATCATTCATAGCCACGACAGTCACAGCACTATTGCAGGGTGGCAGCTGTGGTCATTTCCACTTTACTGATGAATGTAACGCACGGGGAATTTTAAGTGGCTGGTCCCACAGGAATACAGGAAATTCTTGCTGAGGTTGAAAACCCAGATGTCCTCTTGAGTGTCAGCCCAGCTCCTCAGTCATGAACCTGTCGAGGCATTCTGTAGGTCTGTCACAGAATTAATTCAAAGTAAATATTTGAGTCTTGTCACAGATTTCTCTCCTGGTTGCACTTAAAACTATGTGCTAGGAGTTGTGCTGTTGTAAGGCATGGTGGCTGGCTTATCAAAAACGGGCATTAGCATGAGTTACCACGGACTCCTAACACAGTCACCCTACCATGTCTGCACTGCAGTTAGAGGTGCAGCTACCATGA